TCTACATGATGATGCCAGAGATGTGACTATTGGTGATGATGGTGTATTGAGGATGCAGGGCTGGATATGTGTGCCCAATGTGGATGGGCTACATGAGCTGATTCTTGAGGAGGCCCATAGTTCGCAGTATTCCATCCATCCGGGTGCCATGAAGATGTATCGGGATTTGAGATAGCATTATTCATGGAAGAGAATGAATAAAGATATAGTTGGATTTGTAGCTTGGTGTCTCAATTTTCAGTAGGTGAAATATGAGCATCAGAGACCGGGTGGCTTGCTTCAGCAGATAGAGATTCAAGAGTGGAAGTGGAAGTGCATCACTATGGATTTCGTAGTTGGATTCCCACAGACTTTAAGAAAGTTCGATGTTATCTGGGTGATTGTGGATCGACTAACCAAGTCCGCGCACTTCATTCATGTGTGTACATACCTATTTTTCGGAGCGGCTGGCTAAGATTTACATTAGAGAGATTGTTCGCCTTCATGGAGTGCCAGTTTCCATCATTTTAGATAAAGGCACACAGTTTACATCGTAGTTTTGGAGAGCCGTGCAGCGAGAGTTGGGCACTCAGGTGGAGTAGAGCACAACATTTCATCCTCAGACGAACAGGCAATCCAAGCGTACTATTCAGATTTTAGAGGACATGCTTTGTGCTTGTGCCATTGATATTGGGGGTTGATGGACTAGTTTCTACCGCTCGTGGAGTTTGCTTACAACGACATTTATCATTCAAGTATTCAGATTGCTTCGTATGAGGCTTTACATGGGAGACGGTGTAGATCTCTAGTAGGTTGGTTTGAGCCGGGCGAGGCTAGGATTTTGGGTACATACTTGGTACAGGATTATTTGGACAAGGTGAAAGTGATTCAGGAGCGGCTTCGTACAGCACAGTCAAGACAAAAGAGTTATGCTGACAGAAACGTTCGTATTGTGTCTTATATGGCTGGAGAAAAGGTTCTACTGAAAGTTTCACCCATGAAGGGTGTTATGAGATTTGGGAAGAAGGGCAAGTTGAGCCCTCGGTTCAGTTGGCCTTTTGAGGTGCTTCAGAGGATTGGGGAGGTGGCTTATGATCTTGCTTTTCCACCTAGCTTGTCGGGTGTGCATCCAGTATTTTATGTTTCTATGCTCCAAAATTATATCGTCGATCTGTCTCATGTCTTGGATTTCAGCACGGTTCAGTTAGACAATGATTTGACTTATGATGTGGAGCCAGTGGCTATTTTGGAGTGGCAGGTCCGAAAGATGAGATCAAAGGATACAATTTCAGTGAAAGTACAATGGAGAGATTAGCCTATGGAGAAGGCTACTTGGGAGACTGAGCGGGAGATGCGGAGCAGATATCCACACCTATTTGAGGCTTCAGGTATGTTTCTAGACTCGTTCGAGGACAAACGTTTGTTTAATAGGGGAGGATGTAACGACCCGGCCAGTCGTTTCGTGAGTTATAACCCCGTTTCCCCTATTTCTTGCTTCTTTTGTGTTCTTCAGCTGTATTTTGACTTACCAGGTTAGTTGTTTCAGGTCCGAAGTGGTTTTGGAGTAAATTGAGACACTTCGTCTTTTATCTGAAGGCTTAAGTTGGGAAAGTTGATCGGATATTAACTAATGTGTAAAAGACCTTAACTTTGAATTTTGATGGTTCAATTAGCCCCGTTAGGTTATTTTGGACTTAGGAGCACATCCAGAATGTGATTTGGAGGCCCGGGGTAGAATTAGGCTTGAATTGGCGAAAGTTAGAATTGTGAGGATTTTGGCCAGTAGTGGAAATTTTGATATCGGGGTCAGAATGGAATTCCGAAAGTTAGAGTAGGTTCATATTGTCATTTTTGACTTGTGTAGAAAATATAAGGTCATTCGAATATGATTTGAAAGGTTTCGGCGTCGTTTTGAAATTTGAAAGTTTAGAAGTTCTTTGGCTTGAATCCAAGGGCAATTTGGTGTTTTGATGTTGTTTTGAGTGATTCGAAGGCTCGACTAAGTTGGAATGATTTTATAAAATGTGTTGGTATATTTGGTTGAGATCCCAAGGGCATTGGGTGAGTTCCGGGTGGTGAACGGATCAAGTTTGAAGTTTGGAGAATGGCTGAAGTTTGGAACTCAGGTGTCATAACCGCACATGCGGAGAGGGAGCCGCAGGTGCGAGCCGCAGAAGCGGGAATTTAATCGTAGGGGCGATAGGAAGAAGAGTTGGCAGAGTCTGCAGGTGTGAGGGGCTAACCGTACCTGCGATGGTCGCATAAGCGGAAGAGAGGACGCAGGTGCAAGGCTGAACCGCAAACGCATGAGGATTTCCGCACCTGCGTGAGCTGATATGCGGTCTCGAGGCTGCAAGAACGAGACCCGAATTTTAAGTGAAGTTCCGCACCAGCGATAATTTTGCCACAGGAGCGGCATCATAGAAGAGACAATTGGACTACAGATGCAGTGACGCTGGGCAGAAAGTATAAATAGCACACTTCGTGAATTTTGGTTCATTTATACCACTTTCAAGTCAGTTTTTGGTGCTTTCGGAGGGGTTTTTAAGGGAGATTCAAGGGGTTTTTAGTGAGGTAAGTTACTTGAGCTCTAGTACTCCTATCTATGGTATTTTCCCGTTGTTTTAACAATTAATTAGTGGAAATTAAGGGTAAAAATGAGGGGTTAGGGCTTGGGATTTTGGAAAGTTTGATTTGAGGACTTGAGGGACGAAATGGAGTCGGATTTTGAAAAATTTTGTATGTATGGACTCGTTAGTGGATGGGCTTTCTAGTTTTGTATTTTTTATCAGATTTCGAAATGTGGGCCCGGGGCAGGGTTTGAGCCGATTTCAGGTTCTTGGTATAATTTGGCAGTTTTTGTTGTGGAAATTATTCCTTTACCATATATTGATGGTATTGTACTGATTGTAAATAGATTCGGAGCATTTGGAGACCGAGTCGGGGGGCAAGAGCATCGCGGAGTAGAGATTTGATCTGTTTGAGATAAATAACGATTGTAAATCTAGTCTTGAGGGTATGAAACCCCGGATTTTATGCCATATGACTATTTTGAGATGACACACATACTAGGTGACGGGCGTGTGAGCGTGCACCCTTGAGGATTGTGACTTGGTCCGTTCTGTATCTACTGTAAAGTTGAATATTTTGTTGAAACTAAATACTTCTCACTTGTTTTAGAAAGAATTTCCATAAATCATGCTGGATGCCATGTTTAGGTCGTATGCCAGTGTTGTTTGGACCCTTAGAGGTCTTTTCTTGCTATCCTCTCATTGTTTCCGATTGGAAATTTATACTTAGTCATGTTTTTACTTATTTAATTCATAACTCAGTCTCTATTTCTCTACATTTGATGCATCATATAAATATTATTTGGGCTGAAAACTTTGTTATTCTGAGAGCCCGAGAGGCTGGAGAGGTTTATGACTGAGTGAGGCCGAGAGCCTGATTTGTGAGGATACTTATGGGATCGGGTTGCACGCCGCATCATGTTTTACCGATTCGTGACTGAGTGAGGCCGAGGGCTTGATTAATTTATGCCCTGATTGGCTTGTTATAGCGCTTGTACTGAAGGAGACCCTCCAGAGTCTGCACACCCCCCAGTGAGCGCAGATACATATTGAGTGCGAGTGCCGAGTGCCGAGTGCTGAGTAACTTGGAGGCATGAGTGATGGTGAGGTTTGCCCGATGGGCTGTATATGAGTGATGTTTGCCCGAGGGGTTGTTTATGATTTTTTCATTTTCGCTCACCTTTGCATTGAGCCTTTGATTGAAGACTGTTGAAAGATATCTTAAAATGATTTTTCTAAAACTGGATTTAAACAAGTTAATTTTATTCAAACTATGGTTTTAAAAGCGTGCCATATTTTAGTGAGTTTCTGTAATATGAACTTTATTTGCATTACTGCTCGTCACTACTTCTCAGCCTTTATTTACTGTTGTTACTTATTGAGTTGACGTACTCACGTTACTTCCTGCACCTTGTATGCAGATCCAGGTGTATCTAGAAACGGTAGCGGCTGTTGAATATTCCAGTTGTAGATTTTTTCTGAGATAGCAAGGTAGCTGCCTGGCGATTATAACCCTGCTCTTCTCTCTCTTATATTCCTTTAGTTGTATTTAGTTTTTTTCCGGACTATATTAGTCTCGATATTGTTAGACAAATACTCTTTTACCTGGTGCCTGGCCGTAGGGGTCTAGGGTGAGGCTTTTGGAGCCGTTCATAAACCAACCTTGATGAGAGAACTGGACTTTCACAACCCACTCCATTAGAATAAAAGAATATTATTTTAACTTTACTAATAGTTCATTATTGGCAGTTTGGAAAGTGAAGGCATAATTTCTTCCCAGTTGTCTGTCAATGATTAATGAGATTGATGCTTTTCCTGTTTATTGATATAGAAAAATAAAAGATATTATCCAATTAATTCGTTGTGTTTGGAAACTGTAGCGATTAGCTGGTCTTGCCAATTAAATGCAGACTTGGTATCACATGTTGCCTCTGACCTTTTGTCCTATATACTTTCATATTTGAAATGCAGCCTTGATCGATAACTTGGCTATACAATCAGATTGATTGATAACTTGGCCATACATGAATGCAGTTTATCCTTCTACTTTTATGGATCCTAAAACTTATGAAGGACACAGACTTCTCTACGTCTATAAATACCAGTCTCTTCGGTTGTCACATTTTGTATAATGGTCGTATCCGAGTTAAGCTTGCACGCACCTCTTTCTGATTTCATTTTTCTGTAATTCTATGTATTTCAGTGTGCATTTCACTGTGCATCTTTTGTAAAAAGATTGTTTTGGTTCTTTTTCACAGTGCATTTCACTGCCTTGCTTCTTTTGTTCTTCTTTCACTTAGTTGCTGCTGCATATATTTTGCTTGCTGCTGTTGTTATTTTATCTTCTTTATCTGTTTGTTTTTTGTCGTCACTGTTTCAATGTTCTTCCATTTCTCTTATAATGTGTTTAATTTATAATTTTCAAGTCCTACTTGTAAGTTGTTATTTGATGTGTTTTTTTGTTTGCAGAAAATGTCTAAAACTAACATTAAGAATCAGAAAAAGTTGAAGAATCCTCAAACTGCTGGAAAAAGAAGTTTTGCTTGAGTTCGCTCTAAGTTGGTGAGTAACTAGCAAATCATGGCAAAAGATTTTCAATTTTAGCTTTTGTTTAGTTCATGGTAGATCACTAGGAATGCTAACTCACTTTTATGTAACTAGGAAAACAACGAGGAAACTTTGGATCCTTTATCAGCAAAGAAAGTCTTTGTAGCTACAAGAAAAAGAAAAGCTGACGATCATAGAAGTCCTCGGATGAAGATACAACTAGTAAAATTGTGCGAATTATATTTAACTATTGTTATATCGAGATCAATATTTGTTTCTATTTGTTTAATTTTTATTTACTTGAATTACATTTTTTTTAATTTTCTTTATAGGCCGAAATGGAGGAAATTAAAGAACAACAAAACGAAAATGGCAATGAGTCCGTAGAGGCATTTGCATCTGTCATGGGACATGAAAATCCGGGACGTCTGAGATTGTATGGGCGGGAGGTTACAAGAACTTCTTTGAGAGAGAATGTAGGATGTTTTTTACCCTCTTCAAATGATTCATTGGGAGAAGCTTCATCTGTTCAGCAAACAACATTGCAACAAATCCGTCGTCCATCTACTAGAACCAACATAGAAGACCAATTCATTCCAGGTATTAAATCATTGATAATTTAATAATTTTTGTGAGATCTACTGTCTTAGGTTGGTACTTCATATGTTGCACTTAATTATTTAAATGAGGTTGCGACTGGAGTAACTGTTACTTGAGCAGGTTGAATAATTTAGTTGTGATGTTGTTTTGTGATGTAATAGTGTTCGAAGATGTTAAGGTAGATTGTTGCTTAAAAAATAATAGTTAGGAGAGTTGTTTGATATGGTTTGTCTATCGTTGATTCTGGTTTGTTGTATGTCGTTAAAGAAATTAAATATCATTGTAACAGAGGGGAGAGTCGAAAATTATTCTTTTGTATAACATAATATTTTTTTGAGTAGGTTAAAATTTTTGGGATAGTCATATTTATAAAGAAAACTCTGCCGAAAATTTTAAAAATTTAGAGATTTATAAAATTTTTGAGTTATCAAATTGGTCATTCAACACTTTGTTATTCAATTATCTTAAAATTTTCTTTGTTTAATTATTTCTGATTGAATTTTGTAAGTGCATCGATGGATGAAAGCAGGGATAAAGACCTTATTTGAGTTTTGTTGATCATTGTTAGACTTTCTATTTTGACCTTTGAATTGTTGATCAAACAATGTATTCATATTTTTGTTATAGATAATGCGAGTTAGATATTTTAATCTCATTTCGTGATTTATATAAGTTATAGTGTATAAAATTTCTTTGCTTAGGAAAATATTCCTCATTTTGCTTCCATAAATATTAGAAATTACAATAATGAACTGTTGCAATATACAATATAACCGTTCCAACAATAGCAACCCTCCAATAACCATTGCAATATGTTATAAAAAGATATAGATAATTGTTCCAATATATAACAAAACTGTTACAATATATCATGAAAACCTTCGCAATAGAATTAAAAAATCGTTCGTATAATTATAAAACAACGGTTTATAACCGTTCCAACACAAAAGAAAACCGTTCTAGGCTAGTCAAAGGTTGCAATTATAATAGTTACAATAGCCATATACGGAGATGGTTTTGAATCCATTACAATTAACCGTTCCAGTTGACCTATTGTAATGCTGAATCTGGGAACGCGTCCCAAACCTTCCCATTAGCCCTACAAGGACGGTTACAGTATCTATAGGTACGATTTTGAAAGGGTTGCTATAGGCTTAATTTCTAGTAGTGAGAGAATAAGTGTAGTTATAAACTACTAGATTTCTTATGAAAAGAGATTGAAAGATAAGGATTGAGATAAAAAAAATTCTCGTACCATTTTCAAGCTTTTCTCCCTTCGTCTGAAGACAATAGGGAATATTTATAGATGGAACTTGGGTTTTGATTTGAAATTTGAATCCAAAATCAAGGAGGCCACGGGTTGGGATTTTGGTCTTCAAAAGAGCCGTTTGAAAATAAAATTCTCTGCCACAAAGAATCAAAATCTAAAAGTTTTTTGGCTTCCAGTATCAACTAATCTTGTTACAGATAGAAAGAAGGAAAAGTCATGATATTTTGGTATAAAAGTAAGAGAGGTAAGAAGCTTACTCCAAATTGGAAGGGCAAGCTTCTATCACCTCTGGAGAGAGAATGGATTTTTGTTTTATGAGAGGAAAGTGGTTGGTGGTTGGGGGTTGGGGATTGGGG